CTTAGGAGATTCACACTATAATCAAGTGAAATAATCTGCCAGTGCAGTAAGATAATTACACTTGGTAAGATTTCCTGAAATAAGAAAAAATATCTAGGCTTTAGACAAGTGAGAAATACATTAAAACTAGTGATTAAACACTTATTCCAAGTACTTTATTAAGTCAAATAAACTCAAAACTAACTTGTCAAAGCTTCTTTCAGTGTTATTTCTTTCTCACTTTGAGAGAATTCATGTTAAAACAAGATCAACTAAACAAGATGATTATTCTGATTTCAAGAATTAATAATAGTGTTTCTGTCTCAAAACCAGACACAGCATATACACTTAATAAAACATCACACAATATACAGTATAAATAACCTTTATTTGAATTGTTTCTCCAAATAGTAACAATTGCTCAAAGCACTGCAGACATGAATGTGCAAAAAAACCCACAGAAATAATACTGTTGAGGTTATAATGTAATGTCAGACATTTTACACTGTGATTATTATTAAACTAATAGTAACTTTCACTTACAGGACAAAGTCATGGTAAAGTTACATTACTTTGTGTTTGTCACAACTGTTTACCAGTTTATTAACTGTGATCAACGTTCAAAGCTACTAAAACTGTCTATATAACTCTTTATCAGGTCAAAAAAACCCAAAAAACTTTCCACCACAGATATAAAAATTACATGCATCTGAGCAGCTCTACTCCTCAATGAAACCCTTCCACTCTGCCATGGCTTTTTTATATCACCCTGTGGTGTCTCGCTCATGGATACTGTCCTTTAACACTTCAGTCTGAATGACAGACAGAAGGGTTGCCACACACTTTGGATAGGTGAGATGCAGGGTGTAGTAGTATGCCATCAGATAAAGCAAACCTTGACTGAGGTCTTCTTTGGCAAATGTGGTGATCGGAGTGGTTCCAATTACCACAAGACAGCGAGATCCATCGAAAAGCAAAACAGGGCTGAAGAGAGATCTCCTCTGGAGGTACACGGCTGGATTTTCTGTTGGCTGGACAGACAAAAAAATTCTCAGGGCAGAACAGACAAACTGAAGCTACCAGAGCAGTCCAACTACTGAGATAACAGTGTGTATTTAAAATATATCCTTTATCACAATCATAGAATACATGTTGTACACATCATTTTCATATTAATTGATTGAATTATATTCTGTTTTGTTTTCGCGTAATCAAGATAATCCTAAGAGACTATCAATTTTCATGTGAAAATTCAGTTATTTTTAGGGGCAGAGATGCACTAAATGTCAATTTAACTCTTAAATTGTAAAAATACAAACTGAAAGCCCTTGCACACATACATTAACCGATACAAAATATGAGCCAACACTGACCTGAAGGACATGAAGCAGTGCCTCACTGGCATGTCCCAGTTTCTTAGGTGGCACAGCTGGTGAGGGGAAGAGTGTGGGAAGTGCCCTGAACAGGGCTATGTTGTATTCCACTGGAACAGAATAAATCAACTTTTAGTTCAAGGTTATCCTGCCTAAATTTGATTAACCACTTAATCTTGAGGTCACAGAAAGTTCTGTGTCATCACAAACAGTACAATTATTCTGGTTTTATTTCATCAGTGTCGACAACATACACAATCATATTTATACTCATGTCTGTGAAAACAGCTAGCGAAGATAAAAGCACTAACCTTTACCCAGGTTCATAAGTGGTTTCAACACCTTCTTCCAAACACCATAAAACTGTACCATGGAGCAGAAGTCTTCCCATCTCTTCTTTACTTCAGCTATGAATTTGCTGTTGCCCTTATCCAGGATCCGCCGCAGCTCATCCATTACCTATTTTGCAAGTAAGCATTAAAACCCGAAACAGAGCTTGCTTTGTGGTGAAGTCACAATAAAAACTAAATCTCTTACTGTACATTGTGAAGCTCCTTGAAACATGGATATGCCTCCAGAATCTTTGTTGGCCTATCCTCTTCTTTCAGTACATCTCCATCAATGAAGGCTCTTCTTGACTGAAACTCAAGGTCAAGGAGTTGGCAGACAGCATCTTGGTTGGGTTTTGGCTTCTTATAAATCTCCTGCAGAGTCTTGTAATGTCTGGCCTGTGTTGCGCAACTATCCATGTCAACTAAAAGGGAAAATACAAATCAGTAACTGGATCCAACATATCAACCTAAATGATACCAGCAAGCATAACATCCTATGAGTGTTATACATTTATCATGTTTATTCTACAGAAAGTCAAATAAATGTAAAATGAAAAANGTCTCGCTTTTTCCCGGGGAAGATGTATTGAGGTTCTTCTTCATGACTGTAGTGTCGAAGTACCAGTCAATGTATTCTTCGAGTGATTCCAACTTCCCCTCGCTGTCCTCGCTCAGCTCGCTGTTCATTCAGATTTTCCGCCAAGTCTCCGGCGTCTGACGTCACTTACAGCATTTCCGGTCTCATTCAGAGTTAAAGGCCCTGTGGTCTAAATCACAAAGTCAGTTTCCTCTCACAAAGTCAGAGGCTCCTCAAGTTCTTGAAGTACTAATCTATCTGAAGTACTAATCTATCTGAAGTACTAATCTATCAATTATTATTCTTGAGTTTAAATTTCTCAGCATCTCTTTGTAACTAGATTTAAAGTATAATCAGAGTGCATGCTCCCTTTTAGACAGAAAAATGCATTAAAGAAATGCATAATCAATTCACTGTCCTTATAAATCAATTATTTGCCTATTTTATCTTTCAGTGATTCTACGCGGATCGCCAGTTGTGTGGCTAGGGTACGGTGAAACTGCTCCACCAGCCTGCCACTCTGCATTTGAATGGGGGTTGTGTGGGACATTGCCCAACACCTGCGTCTTGAAGTTCCTCCCTTAGTCACTGTGCAGCTTCTTGGAGGTCCCAAACCTGTAAAAAAAAATTTTTTGAGGAGCTTAGCCGCTGTGGTGGTGGCACTCTTGTCGGGAACTGTATACGGAAATTGTGAAGTAGTCCATGTCCACAAGTACAGTATGTAGCAGTTCCTGGCCTCAGTGCAGGGGAAGGGGGCCAGGCCATCCACCCCAATGTGCTCCATGGGGGTGCCCACCAATTACGGCTGTAGGGGAGCCCGGGATTGCTGACTAGGATCCTTCCTAGCTGTGTAGGTGTCGTAGCAGTGCGTGAATAGCTTGGTGTCCTGCTGGCAGCCAGGCCAATAGAACCTCTGCCGCAGCTTCCCCAGTGTCTATGCTACCCCAAAATGCCTGGCCCCGACAGCCCCATGTACTGACGTCAATGTGGAGAGGCAGCAGCTCCCCTGTGCCATTTGGTGATTGCCAGTGTTGGTACAGCAGCCCCTCAGGCCTCTCCTGGTTGTCCGACTGGGAGTGGTAGGCCTTTGTTTCTGGATTGGAGGCTGAGATAGCCTCCCAGCACAGTCGCTTGCCTCACCCATCCACTCCCTCACCCTGGCCAGCATGGGGTTGCTATGCTGTATCGTGGCAAGCTGCTGGCAAATGACTTCCTGGTGGGCCTGGTTGCCTGGCGTTGTGCGCTTGGCGGCACCTGCCGCAACGAGCCGATCTTGCTCCTCCGGCTGGCGACATTGACGCAGCTCTCAGTGGTGCAGGGATGGAGAGGTAGAGCGTCCGTGTTCCCGTGCAGCTTCCTGGGGTGATGCTGGATCTTGAAGTCAAATCTCCAACCAGCGGGTCAGCTGGCAGAAGTTAAGAAGCTGCAGAAGGGATGTGTGGTCTGTACATAACCAGAACAGCAGGTCACAGAGGTAGGGATGGAAGTATTTGTATGCCTGCACCACGGGTGGCAGTTCCCATCAATTCACATAATAGTTGCGCTCCTGCCAGCCAAGTACGAAACCAAGCACTCCCCTTTGAGTTCAGTCTGCAACAGCACAATATCTAGCCCCATGTTACTGGCATCCATGTCCAGGAAGAAAGGGATCTGGGTAAGCTAGCACAGGGGCATCCAGGAGTGCAGTGTGAAACTGGTTGAACTATGTAGTAAAGGCATTCGTCCACGAGAAACCGCTTCCCTTCTCTGTAACATGGTGCAGTGGTTTCGCAATGAAGTCCTTCACAAAGCGTTGGTAGTAGGATGCTAGCCCCAGGAAGTGACAAAGCTCTTTCAAGTTGCATGGGGTCTGCTAATCCCACACTGCTATTGTCTTTTCGAAGTCAGTGGCCACACCTTCACCTCTGATGATGTGGCTAAGGTAGCGTGCCCAGCGCTGGAAAAGGGAACACTTCCGGGGGTCCAGCCGTGACCTTGCCTCCCAGATGAAGGTGAACACAGTCTTTAGTTTCTGAATTGCCCCAGTGAAGTCAGTGTTGTGCTACAGGCTGCTGCGAGTGGTCTTCCTCATTCTCCACTACCACTGTCGCACTGGGACCTGCTGACTCGACTGCGGGCCACCACCAGTGTGCCAGGAGCAGTCCTTCACCTCGGAGTGGACATGGTGTAGGGCAAGGCAATATGGCCAAAAATATTTATCACGATATATATTTGAAAAATTGCGATAACGATATAACTGACTATATGATTGACGTGAGACAAAATACTTTACAACTCCACAACTTTATTAGTGCAAAAAAAACCCCCATCAATTTATTTTCACTTAAACAAGCAGCTGTTTTTATGTGCATTAAAGCTATATAAAAATTTAACAGTGCAAATGCAAATTCCTTGCTGACAGTTTAANCCCTTAAATCTGACAACGACATACCTTCGCTGTTATACCTGTACTGTATACTTTTTGCACTTTAAGACAATTGATGAAGTGGGGATAGAAGAAACTGAAACAAGATAAAACAGGAGGACAAAACACAGGTACAGGCATAAGCTCCTTAACAGGAAAGCAAACAGCGACGCAACCAAATGCTGAGAAACAAACAGGCGAGAGTCGTAGGTTCAAGGAACAGAAAACACGGGTCAAATGTGGCACAACAATGAATATGATAAGAAACGCTGAGTATATTGCAGGTACTCAATACTTCACAGTGGGCTAGTGGAGTTACTGGGCTGTATAAACACTAAGTGCCAGTCATGTGACATGAACCGCAGCGGGTTAGAATCCCGGGGATGGTGATCGGTGTAGGCGAGACCGTGCCGGTGACAACTATGGCAACAAGCCTCCCACTAATTTATTTATGATATCAGATTGTAGGAATAGAGCTGGTTTGGGCAAAAAACAATGCAAGAAACTGTTACACTCATTAAGGCTAAATAAATGTTTGCTGTGTGTATAGTTGTATGATAAACTACTTTATTTATGAACTCCAGCTCCACTGTTTGCCCAGTCTGTTCTTCTCAGTCTGGCCTCAGTCCAAAACCACACCTACTGCAGCCTGAGAAGCAGAAAGTTCCTCCCACTCTCACACACAGATGACTGAGAAAATGAAACAGAGTCCTATCAGTGCTCGTGATAAAATGGCAGAAGCCAGAGTTCCAGTGGATGTAAATGAGTTCAGCTGTGCAATCTGTCTGGATCTACTAAAGGATCCAGTGGCGATTCCCTGTGGACACAGTTACTGTATGAGCTGCATAAAGAGCTGCTAGGATCAGGAGAATCGTCTTGGAGTTTACAGCTGCCCCCAGTGCAGACAGACCTTCGTACCCAGACCTGTTCTGGGCAGAAACACCATACTGGCTGAAATGGTGAAGAAACTGAAGAAGTCTGGACTACAAGCAACTACTCCTGCTGACCAGTATGCTGGACCTGGAGATGTGGAGTGTGACGTCTGTACTGGAAGAAAACACAAAGCTGTCAAGTCCTGCCTGGTGTGTCTGGCCTCTTACTGTGAAACTCACCTCCAGCCTCACTATGAGTCTCCAGCTTTTAAGAAGCACAAGCTCATTGATGCCACCAGTCATCTGAAGAACAAGGTCTGTTCCCACCATGACCAACCCCTGGAGATCTACTGCCGTACCGACCAGCAGTGTATCTGTCTGCTGTGTGTGATGGATGAACACAGAGGCCACGATACAGTCTTAGCTGCTGCAGGAAGGGCGGAGAAACAGGTCAGGCCAGAAACGGTCTTATATAAATTATAAATTTTTATAAAGTAAAAATGGTTTTTGTCACATGTAAATAAGTTTGCATTGAAGAGAAACTATGATTAAGCCTGGTTAGTTGCATGAAAGAAAAATGCTCAGAAAATGTCCTATAACTGAATAAAGAGAAATTTTAGCACCTTCACTTTTATCAGTAGCTGTGTCCTTAGTGGGGCAAACCTGTATCAAGATGTTAGAACATAAGAACATAAGAACATAAGAACA